GTACGGTGGTGAAGTAACATTAGGCGTTGCCGGTGGTAAATTATTACAAATAACTTTATCATCACACGAGAATGTTGGTAATATTGTTGAAAATAAAAAAATAATTGAAATACTTGACAATCAAATAAATTGCCATAGATATCGACAAGCTTGGAATACTTGTCTTACTTTAAATGATAAAAATCATTGGATTAAATTAGGAAAGAGTGCATTAGAAAATTTGGATATTGAAATGGGTATTAGAGCTTACAGAGAAATACCGGACGTATCGATGGTTTGGGCATTACAAAAACTTGAAAATATTGAAGAATTGTCATTACTTTATGGGCATATTTGTCTTTTGTTGGAAAATTACAATAAAGCGGAAAAATTTTTCCTCGAATCTTCAGAACCCGTTGAGGCATTGTACTTACGTCGTGATTTAATGGAATGGGAACAAGCGTTAACTTTAGCACAAAAATTTAAACCCGATGAAATACCATTTATATCACAAGAGTATGCCCAACAATTGGAATTGACGGGTAACTATCCAAAAGCTTTAATTAATTATGAACGTGCTCTATCAGCGGTTAATGAGAATACAATGACTACTGAACAATTTTACAATCATCGCATGCAGTGTTTAAGTGGAATTGCGAGAACTTCAATAAGATGTGGTGATAGTCGTAGAGGAGTAGCTATTGCAATGGAAAATGATACTCCACGTTCTGTAAGAAAAGAATGCGCTGAAATATTAGAAAATATGAAACAATTTACTGAAGCTGCAATGCTTTATGAAAAAGCTGATTATTATGATAAAGCAGCATTAGCTTATATAAAATTGAAAAATTGGGTTAAAGTTGGCCAATTATTACCACAGATATCGGCACCAAAGATAAATATTCAGTATGCAAAAGCTAAAGAGGCTGAAGGAAAGTACGATGATGCTGCTAGAGCTTATGAAATAGCTAAAGATTATGATAATATTATTAGAATTAATTTGGAGTATTTGAATAATCCCGGACGTAGTGTTGAAATAGTACAACAAACTAAAAGTATTGAAGGTGCTAAAATGGTTGCGCGTTATTTTCAAAAAATGAATGATTATAATTCAGCAATCAAATTTTTGATAATGTCTAACTGTCATGATGAAGCTTTTCAATTGGCTAATCAGCATGGTAAAATGGAATTATATGGTGATATTTTAGTTAATACATTAGATGACGATAATGTAAGATTAGAAGACTTTAAAAGTCTTGCTATACACTTTGAAACACAAAAAAATAGTTTACTGGCGGGAAAATATTATTTTTATGCCAAAGATTTTCACAAGGTTTGTTATTTAATTATCATCTATGTTGTGTATTACAAAAACTATAAATATAAATAAATATTATTTTTTTTAGGCTTTAAAACATTTATTAAAAGCTGCACAATTGAGTACTGACGACGATGCTGCTCTTTCATTAGCAATTGATACAATTGCTGTTTCAAAAGATGATAAACTTGCAAATCAGTTAATCGATTTTCTACTTGGAGGTGACGGCTTACCAAAGGTAGATTTAAAATTTATTTACCAACTAATTTAATAATAATTTTAGGTAAATTCATCATTTTTATCTTTTTTAGGATCCAAAATATTTATTTCGTTTATATATGGCACGAAAACAATATAAAGATGCGGCAAAAACTGCGATAATAATCGCTAATGAAGAACAAGTAAATGGTATTAAATGAGTATTAATAATCAAAGCTATTTTTTTTTTTTATTTTAGTTATTCAATTGATTTTATTTATTTATTTATCATAGGAAATTATCGTAATGCTCATGATGTTTTATTTGGGATGTATCAAGAACTAAAACGTAACAAAATTACAATACCACTTGAAATGAATAACAACTTACGTCTTCTACACTCTTATATTTTAGTTAGATTACATGTTAAAAGAAATGATCATTTACGTGGGGCAAGAATGTTGATAAGAGTTGCCAATAATATTTCCAAATTTCCATCACGTAAGTAACAAAATAATTTATTTTAAATATCTTATTTAATAATATATAATGGAAACAAAATTTTCAGATATTGTACCAATTTTAACGTCAACTGTTATTGAGTGTCATCGTGCAGGATTAAAATATGCAGCTTTTAATTATGCAGCTATGCTTATGCGTCCTGAGTATCGTACGCAAGTAAACATTAAATACAGCAAAAAAATTGAAGCTATTGTTCGTAAACCACCGAGGTCTAAAGATCATGAAGTTGAGGATGAACCGTTAACGCCTTGTCCCTATTGTAAAAATCGAATACCAGAAACAGAAATTACTTGTGATAAATGTAAAAATACTATTCCATTCTGTATAGCGACGGTAATTATTCATACAATCACTTATAAAAAAAAAAAAAAAAAAAAAAAAAAGAAAATAAAAATTATACTTTATTTTTATTATTTATTTCAGGGCCGTCATATAATTGAAAATGATTTTACTGCATGTCCTCAATGTGATTTTCCAGCTATAAAGAGTGAATTTTTAAGGTAAATAATTTATCCAAAAATCAATAATAAAGGATTGGAGCCAGAAGAATATAAGTGAAAAAATTATTTTTTGTTACTTATGTTCTTTTGAGTTTAAACATTCAAAATAATTTTCATTAATTCATTTATTTCTATTTTCGACAGAATTATTGAAACTGATGAATTATGTCCGATGTGCAATGAAAAAGTCGATTTAAGAATGATACCCCAAAACATCAACATCCGTATTTATCTTGAAATGCAAGATGAACAATTTAATCAAATACACTGATAAGACTTGAGTTTTTTATTTTTAAGATCCCAGTATATGATCAAAATTAAAATAGTTAGTGATAAAGGAAACAATCCGTCCATAAATAATATTAAGAAAAGTCTTAAGTATTACTTTAAGTAATGAAATGATACTCACGTACTTAGACACTTTAGAATAGAAATTTTGAATACAAAAATATTTTGACACAGTTAAAAAAAAAATCAAAGTAGCCTTAAATTAGTCAAGTTTTAAAGTTTTAATCTATTCATCTGTTTAGATGTTTCTTATTTTTTACTTTGATTGATGACCATTTTTTTAATAACAAAAAAATTTTTTTTAATTATTAGATATAATTCTCAATTATAAGCCATTCAATTTTCGACAGTACAAACACTTGAAGTACAAGCAATTGCATTGTTGATTTATAAATTTTGGCCATTATGTATTATTTTTAAATAATCGTATCATATTTTATTATAGTTTAATGATTTAAAAAATCATTCTCATTTTAATTAATAATTTTTTTTTACATTCATCTGATTTCAAATAAACTTAGATATTATTTTATCTAACTATTTCTTTATTCATTTATCCCTACTTATAAAACTAGTTACTTTTTAAAATATTTTTTGTAATGAAAAGCTGGATTTATTTCATGATTTTTAGATGATATACTATCATCAATAATTTTGTTTCTAATAAGCATCAATAATACAAATACTGTTAATTACAACAAAAAAAAAAAATCCTGAGTAATTAAAATTATAAAAAATTGATAATTTAGTCACTCAGTGAAATTTCAGTTAATTTTATTACAGTATTTGAAAAATAAAGAGAATATAATTCGACGAATAATAAAAATTTCAATTATAGATTCTAAACTATTTTTATGAAGCGTTCTTGACGTCAAAGTAATTATAAATAAAAATAGAAAAATCATTTTAGTAATGGCAACATGTTGGTCTAGTAATCTCTTTTCAACAGCCTATATACTATTGCGTTTTTCTATGTAAAAAAGCAATAAGCTTTCAATAATTTTTTTTTCTATCATGTTTATTTATATTACGCGCTTACAGAGTGCCGAATTCTTCTACGCCCATGGCATCAATAATTTTATATGAAGTATATTAAATATTACACTTGATATTTTTTTCAATGCAAATTTATAATGAAGATATAGATATTTATTACTTTTTCTTTATCAATAATTAATATTAATAAAGTTCGCAGACATTTTTGTTTTTGCTTAATTTATTAAATTAGAACTAAAAAATATTTTTAAAAAATTGCACTTATAATTTTTGAAGTTTTTTACAAATGAAAAAAATTTTTTTTAATTTTTTTGTAATAATTTGTTTAATAAAAAAAATTATAAAATTTTTAGATGTCGGTTAACTTTATTTTCATCAATAATTATTATTGCAAGTTTAAAAATAAAATAAAGTTAAGTGAAAAATTTTAATCTGCCAAGCCTGAAGATATATTGTTATAAAATTTTTTATCATCCTGATTCACATAAATTAATTGAGAAAAAATCTATATATAATTTTATTATGTAGAAAATTAATAATGACATTAAAGTTTACAGTCAATCGAAAATTTTTTTATTTTTTTTTTAACAAACAAATTTGCTAAAAAAAATTACTTTTAAAAAATTGCAATTTTTATTTTTTTAAATTTCTACAAGTCAATTTTTTTTTTTTATTTTTATTGCCATAATTTATTAAAAAAAAAAAAATTCTAAAAATTGTTAAATACCTGCTAAATTTATTTTCATAAATTAATAATGTTATACCTAGGTACAATTTTTTAATTTATTACAACAGTTTTGAATATTAGCGCTTTGTAATAGTTTTTATGATTGGTTTACTCGCTACAACATTTGGAGTGCAGCTGATCCAATCGCTATCGCTATATGTGGCATACAAATAAGAATAAGTAAGCCCCTCTGCCGGAGAAGGACGTCGCCATCCTTTTAACCCCACTGCACCGTAAGTATATGTGCACATACGTTACTATACCAATATGAGTATGTGTGCGTAAGTAATACCCAAAGAAAGTAATGTGGCATGTACAGAACAGTTATACTAACCTATAATAATACAGACATTAAAAGTGTGTGGGTCGTATCTCGATACTCGTGTGAGTGTTGACAAGAAATTTTTATTTCTTATTTATTTCGAAGAAATTCGCGAAAGAACGCGCGGCATTAACGAATATAGTGGTCAAAATGGCTGAACCTAGTGTTTCGCCGGCTCCTAGTTCTTCAGATTCTTCGGAAAATTTACAAGAGGAATCATTTATATCAAGTTTTATCGCTGAAGTAGTGAAAAGTCCACTTAATATATTTCTTGTTATTGTTATTGCTATTTTAGTTTATAAAATATTCCGGAGTAAAACACAAGAAGATCTACCGGTCCAAGAGCACAAGGAATTGCCTAAAATTCGTAAAGATTTTAATGTTGAAGAATTAAAAAAATATGACGGTAGGGGAACGGATGGACGAATTCTTGTTGCTGTAAATGGGAGTGTTTATGATGTTACGAGAGGCAGTAGATTTTACGGACCCGGTAAGTTAATTATAATTTATTTGATACCCTAATTCTATTAATTTATTTATCAACAAACACATGATATTTTATTTTTGTCATAGCTGTTAATTCTCGGTTTTATTTTCTAGATATATTCAGATAAATATGTTGTCACGTCACATAATTAACGTGACTGTGCATATAGTTTAAGGTTGGCTGAAAAAAAAATGTTGCAATAAAAAAAAAACTTGCTCTTGTTGAGATAACACCTTGATAACATTTGTTTACATATATAATCAGACATTAAATGATGAATGTGACATCATTTTTACTTTTATCAAAAATTCAAAGAGCTTTTTTTTTTAACATGATATTTATACATAAAATTGTTTTCATTTTTCAGCTGATTTAATAACTGTTTTTTTTTTTTTGCTCGATGATGAGTGTATTCAGTCATACCATCGTGTTAATAATTGATGCATGTATTTGCGTCATTTCCCAATGACTTTATGTATTGATTGATTGGAATTATCGACTTTAATTATTTATTTTTAACGAAATGACAAATAATTGTATTTATATTCTCGGCAAATGTCAATAATAATTAATAATTATTTAGATATTAATTGATAATTTAATGAAAACTTTATCTACATTAGTAAACTTATTTTTACCATTCGATCCAAGTGGATACCATCAAGTTATTTTACGCTTGAGAGAATAAAAATAATCAGTGGAGTAGTATTGGTGATAGGATTGTCGTGAATATGTTACAAATACTATTCTCTATTTATATTGTGATTTTATTTCATTAATCTTTTTTTAACTTTATTTATTTATTTATTTATTTTTTTTTTTTTTTTTCAAATTCAGATGGACCATATGCTGCATTTGGAGGGCGTGATGCCAGTAGAGGATTAGCCACATTTTCAGTAGTTCCAGGCAAAGATGAATATGATGATTTAAGTGATCTTAATACTACTGAAATGAATTCTATTTTAGAGTGGGAGGAACAATTTAAAGGTAATGCTGAATCATGAAGTTTTTTAAATGAATTAAATAAGTTATCAGTTGTGGTTTTTTGAATATTCTATAATAATTTATTGAATGCGGTTAATATCATTCAGTTGTCAAGGATTGTCATTTTATTTGTATATAAAATGTACAAAGAGTAATGTTCAATTTGAAATAGCCAACAATTATCTTTTTATTTTTCAGTCTAGTGATTTTATTCGCCATTAGTTACTAGTTTATACTCTTATAATGATATGTAACGTATCATATATTATTTATGAGATCATAGGTCGAATCTGACGTAACAATAGCTTGAATATATTCAATTATTTGAATTTATTTTAGATTTTTAAATCGTTAAATTTTTTTTTAACTTATATTTTCAATAGAAAATATTCTTTGGTCTGTTGAGCACACGCATTATTTAAATGAGTAGCAAATTTAAGGAATTTACTTTAATAAATTGGCAACATTAGATTTAATAATTATTTATTTTTACTTTATAGAACGATATGATTACGTTGGTAAATTGCTGAAACCTGGTGAAGCACCAACAAATTATTCTGATGAAGAAGATGAAGGTAGCCAGCAAGAATCCGACGTTAAATCAAAGGATGATTGACCATTCAAAAACGAAATGGAAACCTTGTTGAGAAATCTTAAACATCAGGCACACATCTATGTGAAAATTGTAGATATCATCGCTTCTCAATTAATAATTTTTAAAATAACTGAATACCAATTAATTGTGTGAAAATATACACACACATCCTAAACGGGTATTCATAACACAAAATTTGATTTAATTGTAATAACGATGTGGACTCTTTTCAAATTTTTGAAATAATTTATGTGTACTGATTGAAAAAAAAAAAAATCGATATAAATATTACTTATGAGAATTTTTATAACTTTTTAAAGTTATACATTTTATCATTTTTCTTAAAACAATTGTACATTTTACTTTAATTTGTTGGTACATAATTATGGTTGATGATTTTTCATTTTTTATTTGTGTATGTTTAAGTTTATTAAAAATTGAAAAATGAACATTATTAATAAGTTGCAAATAAGATGTTTGAATAATAGTACTTTTTGTTAAAATAATTTCATGCTGCATGTGTTAACATGTACCGACCACCGGAATATTTTTCAATACCAATGTAAAAATTCAATCAAAATTTTCATCAATTTTTTGAGTATATATTACGATATATTTTATAAATATTTAAATAATAATCAAGAAATTTTACACTTTGTCAATTTTTTACAAAACATTTTTTTAAACTGCTAAGACTTTGTATACACTTGATGACAATTAATTGCATAAATATTTTTTTTTCAAACATCTCAACGTAAGTAATTTGAATAAAATCAGTCTTAAAAGTGAGATAAATATAAAAATATGTATATGTAACGATAGATCTATTCTCTTATGGTTCTTTAAATTAAAAACTACCTCAAGGTGTGTTTTATAATAAATGTTTGAAGCATAATGAAAAAAAAAAAAAAAAAAAAAACATCACTTGCACCTTTAGAATGTGCACATTTTGGTTGTATCATCGAATTAAATAATTTGCTGTACAAGTAATAGTTTTAGTTAATTATAGTAATTAATAACTAATGACAAAGTGAATTGAAACTAATTATTATTTTTTAGTAAAAATATTTAGATTTAAATTTTAAAAATGGTTGAAGCTTAAAATAATTACTTAAAGATGGCTTATTAATTTTAAATATTTAACAATATCTTAAAACTGCACGAAAATAGGTGAATACATTGACCTCAAGTCAATATAAAAACTTTCACCGTCTTTCATTTTTATTATAATATTTATGGACTAGGACCATCAGGCATGAAGATATTTTTTAATAAATACTAGATTAATAAAATAGGTTGTTTTCCTTTTTTTAAAACAAATTCAATAAATAATCTATGGATATTCTTCTAAGAAAGTTCACTAATAATTCCTGAGGCCTTATAATATGGACATCTGATAAAAAATTTTATTTTTTTTTTTTTTTTTTTAATTACTGAACTGAATAACTTTTCGATCAATTTTCTGGATATATTATTAAATGTATAACTAATTGCCATAACTTCCCCGTTTGCTTAAGAAAATATTTTTTGTAAACTTTAATATAATACACTTGTTAATTAATTATAGCTTTAATTTAATCAAAGCTCTGAAATTATTTGGTATCTTATTTGCTTGTAATTTCCTATGTTTCTGTCTTCCGTTGAACAGGGAAATTCAAAATTTATAGAGCAGAAAATATTGTAAAACATTGTAATTTTTTAACATTGGACTTTTTGTACAGGTTTATATTTATGTATTACTGGTACATCTTGTTTTAACATAACATATTACCAATTTTAGTGTTTTAACATAACACTAAAATTAATCTTCATTATTACAAAAAATAATAATAATAATTTTATTGTTTATATAAATAACTCTAATGCTACAAATATACTGTAATTATATAAATAATATAGGGTTCATGAAGTTTTTCGGAAAATTATGATTAATTATATTTTTTGTAATTTTTATTTAAAGCATTATACTTTGTACTTATTTTGAACTACGAGGCTTTTTTAAAAATAATTTCTCTTACCCTTTCAAAATGTTAAATAAATATCTTGAGAACATGTTACCATAGTTTCAACATTAAATTCGAAGAATTACTTATGCATTCAAATTAAAATATCAACACTGATATGTTTAGTTATAATTCTTACATGTGCATCTCAAAACTGTTATGCGAAAAATAGCGTCCAAATTTTTATAACGATAAGATAAAATACTTTTTCTATGAATGGTAAAAATTGATCAATAGTAATTTTTTTTTTTAACTTTAAAAAAATGTCCGTGGATGAAATATTTGCCATGAAAAATGTAAAGTGTGAGACAATCTGGTAATTTTTCTAGTCATGTTTGAAAGAGATTAAGTAATGAATTTCAAACTTTTAAGGGGTAGTTATGGTGTGCTACAATAATTAAAAAAAATTGAAAGATTTTAATCAAAACTATATGGAATCATTGATAAAAAAATTCATAAAATTTTTTTTTTTATTAAAAAGAAATCTTGATCACTTTCTAAGATATAAAATTTTGAAACTTTTTTTAATTTAATTGGCACATAATTTTCTCTGAGAAAATTAAAAATTCACTGTTTCACCTCTTCATAATTTTTCCAAGGAAGTAGTGTTACCTCACACTTGAACGTTTGATATGTTCTTCAATTTGAACCTACTACTATTCATGAGTTAGTAATATAAAAAAATTTTATCTAAATTAAAAAAAAAAATAAAACTTTATATTATAAATTGTAAAGATTTTAACCTAAGATATTGATTTTTGTTCGGACGGTATTACTTCAATAAACGTTTCTTTACAACATTATTTAGAAAAATTATATTTTGAACGAATTAATAATTTTTTTAAAATTAATTTACTGTTCATAGTGCATTTATAAAATTTTATATGATAGATTTATCCAACTTTATGAAGGAAAAAAATAAAGCGCTCCGAAACTTTCAAAGTTCTTATTTTAATGTAATATTTCAATTACTTTGAAATGATAATAATATATTTTATAATTTTCTTCAATGACATAGTAAAAATTAAAAATAAAATTAAGTTAATTACTATGCATGTGAGTATTGTACCTCTGAATTACTTTAACAATTATTGATCAAAAATGACTCGGATAAAAAATATTATACGTTACGAACTTTATTTTTATTTATATTTTCAGAAAAAAAATTTTCATTTAAAAATTGTTACAAAAAAAAGTTTTGCGCAGTTTAATACTAGCAAAGTTTTAAAGTGTTTTTTTTTTTGTAAATAAGTAATTACAATAAATATATATATATATATATATATATATATATATATATATATAAATATACATAGATCGACTTTTCATGCTCAGTATAAATACTCGAAAATGTTTAGAGAAAAAAATATAAAATTATTTTTTTGATAAGAATTCAGCGTGCGTCTAAATCAACAAACTGGATTCTCGTTAATATTTTCTTAGCGATTATAAATGAGAATGATAATAATTTTTAATTGAAATTAATTTAAAAAAGGAAGAAATTTTATCAGTAACAATACTTGAGTGTTATTTTACTTGATGTACCTGCAACATTTCGTGAGAACACATTTCACGCGCAAGTCTACTTAGAGAATTTTAAAAGAGGGTGGAGGCGATCGATCAGATTTCATCCCTTGCGGCAGGAACTTGGTGGAAATAATATAATGAAATAAAAAAAGGCTAGCTTCATTCCAAAAGATAGCGGATAATATTTTTGAAATAAATTGGAAAATTTCTAATTGCTTTGTTTTCATGATGTTCAAATTATATTTAATTAAAATTAACGCCATAATGTTTAATAAATAATATAATAATTCAATACTAACATAAATGTAAAAAATTATAAATAAATATCTTGAATATATTATAAATTTGATCAAGTAACAACCTTCTGTAGGTTCTATCACATCACAATTATTCAGGAAAAAAAATTTATTTCATTCTTATCGAAAATTTAATTTAGATAAATTATAATCACGTGTAAAAAAAAAAATTAACACAAATTTTGATTATTTGATTTAACAAATTTGATTCAAACGTGGTTCATAAATTTTTTTTTGTAAAATTAGACTGTATTTTTTTAAAAAGCATACATTTTTTTTTTTTGCTACATCGACTACTATATCTTTTGAACAAGTCCTCCGATCAAAAATCGTTAGGTCGAAGAATCTAAAAATTGTATGGAAGAAAAAACTTATCTTAGATTATTTGTTTTGTTAGACAATAATTTTCAAACACTTGAATCGATTTTGACTAAAGATTAAATTTTTGAACTCTACAGAAAAATTTCCTTCTAGAATAAGGGTACTAAATTTATATAAAAATTCAATAAGGGTTGCAGTCGAAAATGTGATAACAAGGCGTAGTATATCATTACACTTACACACTTATACAAAATAGGGCCAAAAAATTAAAAGAAAATTCTGTCAAATTTGAACTTATTTTTGTAATTTTAATGTGTCGACCGTAGTCGGAGTTTTGAGTGGAAGACATGCACTTTATGCAACCAATTAAATGATTGAACCCTGAAATTTATTTGACTTAGTAATTAGTGATATTCTCAAATAAAATTCATCCAAATTTTTATTTCATATTATAATATTAAATTATTTGATGCTTCATCTATATAATATAATATTTAATTTGAACTATTGAGTACAGTATTAAATTTATGCATAAATATCAAAGTGTACTTTAAGTTTACTATTTGATAATTTAGATAAATATTTTTTACTAATAGTTGTTATAAACATAATGAACAATTACGATTAAATTTAATAATTTAATTTAGGTCTTTTTAATTTACTGTGTAGCGCTTTTTAAAAAAGTAATACTAAAGTTAGCCGACGTTTTAAATAATTAAATTAGAAAAAAAAAATATTTTTTAAAAATTACACTTACAGTTTTTAAAGTTTTTTACAAATGAAAATTTTTTTTCTTTTTTTTTTTGTCTTCATTTTTTCAATAAAAAAAAAATTATAAAGTTTTTAAATTAAATGTCGGTTAATTTAATTTTCA